CCTCAACCTTCTCTTCTTCTTCATCGCTCGAGTCTTCATCATCTCCTTTAATCTCCTCAACCTTCTTCTCTTCTTCCTCTTCCTCATCATCGCTTGAATCTTCACAGATTCCTTTTTTTGTTTGCCTTTGATTCTTCAGCCTTCTTCCCATCGTCACCTGTATCTTCATCTCCCTCCTCCTCACTTGAGTCTTCCTCAGTCTCCACAGTCTGATCGAACTCTGGACCAAGGTTTCGAGGTGAAACCTCTGTCGCCACATCTTTGGTTTCTTCACATTCTGGTGAACCTTGTGGCTTTCGTTTCTTCAGCTTTGGTTCCTGGTGCTCCTGACAGAAAAGCTTCAGGGAGGCAGGGAGGAGGTCTGTTGACTATGTTTAGAGCATGGACGGTTCGATTGGGATCAGCCTCAACAGTCGTTGTTAAAGAGGACCTGAAAGACCCACATGTGGACCTTAGCTGCATGTATATACATCTTAATTCGAATGTTTGATTCTCTCAATGAAGCTTAGGAGCCAGTCTATCGAATCCAAACCATTGAGGATCTCGCTCTCCTGTGTTTCCACCGCATCAGGATTCCTTGGAGGGGGGGCCCTTTTGGAACGATTTGTTTGTATCAACATGCATCAACCCTAGTTCAAAGTATCGTGCATTAAAGGGACGTGGCACTGGTTACAGAGAGAGAGCTGGATGAAGGTCGGGATGACATCTTCCGACAGCGAAGAAGCACATGATGGCAACGAGAAGCCTCAACATGAGCATGAGTTCGGTATTTCGATGTAAATATCTCGATTGAAGTCAACAATGGGTCCGGGTTCAATGGTTCACACATCTATACTTAAGCCATGGCTCTTGCTCTCTGACCCAGGAGTCAATGTCCTGTTGATGCCTGTGATGACCTTGGTAAAGTTTACAAAACCATAGTACTCCACATGGTGAGCCTTCAAAGTCCAGATTGGTGTGCATATTTACCAAGCTTGTTCCAAGACACATATATGGTGATGGTGAACAAGCTGGGCCACAATCTTGCGAACCTCCCCCTCCCGGGGAACCCTTCGGATCTTGTGTTCCACAGACTCCCATGCATGGCGGAGCCACTCGTTGCCACGAAATCGCAGGTCACCCCCAGGGACCATCTCCTGGCTCTCAAGGATGGCTGAAACATCCATGTTCTTCTCGATGGCTTTTCGAAGCCTCCTTAGATGTGAACCCAAAGCCCCACAACAATTCAGAATTCCAACCTTTTAAGTTGCCCAGCCAGAAGAACCAACCATGGGGGGGTTGTCAACACATCCCAGTACCATGTACTCCTGGATCCCCCTGAGACCATGTTGCCAAGTTTCTTTCCCTGGTCCGACAACTCTTTGAGCATCATCCCAGAAACCATGGCACAAAGTGGATCCAAGCTCGCTAGCTATAGCAGCTGTTGCATGCTTTACTATCTTTACTGCTGAGGCATTTCTATGCGATGTTCCTAGTTGCATCTAATATATGCCAGCATGCATGCTACAACCATGGTCCATGACAACCTGAGCCTGCAGGTGCTCCAGCGACCAAGCACCGGTCGCCTGTGGCGGGCTCTCGATCGACGGCCCCTGGGGTACCCCTCGATATCAAAATGACAACGAGGTCACTTAGGCCATGATACCTCGATAATGACATGCTAAGTGGACTCTTTTCATTTTGAGTTTAAGTGACTTCAAAACAAGGTCACATTGATCAAGCTGGACAATGATCGGATGATGTACCATGGTCAAGGTTTGCGCTGCAAATGGCCCTTTCTTACTCTTCTTGACGGAATCCATCCCAAAGCCTAAAGCCCTTTTCGGGACATCTAATCTGCTAGTTCTGGTGTAGGTTGGCTGCGTTTTCAATCAGACTTTCGACAGAGTGTAGGGACCAAACAGCGTTTAAAGTTTTAAAGAGTAAACGAAACCTGAAGGAAGGCCATAGCTGGTGCCCAATGCATCAGGTCAGAAAGATAGACTTGAATTGATATACAGAAGATTCTACAGACTCTACACGCACAATTGGAATACGCAATCCACAGAATGTCAATTTCCAGTACGAAGCATCCAACCTGCATCAAACAGGCGACTAGTGCTGAGATCTACCCACACCGAACTTGTGTGGAAGCGACATATGGTGTTGTTTAAGGTGTTTTTCCCGAAAGCATTGCAAAGGGTTCTTCCGGAAAATCCCTTGAACACTGACACTTCGACACTTACACTTAGACACTGACACTTCCACCACATTCGCAGTACATACACTGACACTTCGACATGGACACTTACACATACACAGTGACACTCGGCAAGCACGCAGTGTAAGTATACAAGTGATGGGTACGCAAGCATGCTTTGAGCATGCAAGCATGCAATGAGTAGGCAAGTGTGAGTATGGAAAACTAGCACGGGAGATGTCCTAATGAAAAAACATTTCCCCACTTTATAAATTCTCTCTTAAAGGCGGAGGGCGGGACGAACAGCGTCAACCGAAAGTGCAACCCTCTGCGGAGATCGTGCGTGTCGAGTGCGCGAAATGCAGGC